CTCGGCTCGCAACAAGTAACATAATGAAATGGCTAAAGTTCCATTTGGAGAGTTACTCATTTAATGACTTTGAGTCAATTCTTTCTTTTTGAGAGTCAATAACTTTATACACAGTGCACTTTCAGATTTAAAACTCAGCTGGGTGTGTCCATTCACTCAGAGCTAGACAACACACTGCGTGTTAAACACTGCATGAAAGGTCATTTTTAAAAATCTATAATAGGGTACTTTGAGAATCTTTGCATAGCCTTTCAGTCACATACTTTTAATTTGTAGCATGGTGGTGACATAAATGTGCTATGTAAAGGACAGTTTTTTCAGTGTTTTTTCAGCATTAAACGCCAATGTTGTGGATTCAAATCCCAAGAAAACCAAGACTTGTGTACTTGGTGTTCGCATTTGTGCTGATTTTGTTTGTATTTACTCATTTTTTTTTACTTATTAACATACTTGTGTGGCTGTAGAAGGTCTCAGGCTATACATATAAATCATTTAGCAAAGACACAAAGGAACATGGTCAGCTCTTTTTGTCTTTTTTGCTTAATTATCCTTAATAATTTCCTTAATAATTTTAAATATAAATTAGATTTATAAATTTTTTTATATAAATTAGAATAATTGGCAAGTGCATGAGTATAAATTCACTGAAGTTTAACAGAAAAGCCATTTAAAATATCTTGATGTGTTAAAAATAGTCATGGACACATTCCCATGGTGTCTCAGTCAATGCAATAGTCACAATTATGACAAATTAGCGACAAATTCTCATATGGTCACACATCACAGCTTCACAACTCAATAAGGCTGCAAGATGGGCAATAAAAAAAATATGCTTCTTTTGTTAGCGCCACTTAGCTCTCCCACACAGCGAAGATCTGTGAAGCAAGATAACTAGGAGCCAACCACATATCTCTAAGAATGGACTCTTTAAAAAAACAAAAAAAAAATTTCACACTAACAATCTAGCATAGTGGGCACTGCTTTCCCATGTCTGGTATATGATAGTCTTCCAAACAAAATTACATTTTTATTTAATTTTGAGAATGTAACGGATCAGACAATAGACCAGAGGCACAGGCAAAATGAGGACATTTTATTAGGAACAGAGTACAACACAGGCAGGCTGCCGCATGCTGAGCCTCGGCTGTGCCCAGACCTGGTATGGCTTACGAAAGTTCTGGTAAGCACAGAAGGAGCCCACAGAGCTGGTCGGTGAGAAGGCTTAGGAGGAGAGCTTGAGAGCACTGGACAAAGCAGAGTGCAGTTAGGCGTGAGAACATATACTATAGCACGAAAACAGGACAAACTACAGAGAACTGAGTGTAAGTGAGTGATCCAGAGACACTGTTACATACTCTTAGAAGGTTATAATAACCTGACACAGAGGTATAAATGGAGACGCTAATAAGCTACAAGTGGAGGCAGGTGCTAAGGCAATGATTGTTAATGGAGAGGGTTTACAGCTGAGAGACAAAAACAATACTGAGAGTGGGGGAATTAATGAGATCAGACCTGACTCATGACAGAGACTTGAGTCAGGTCTGACTTGCCAATAGACGATCATTCACAAACTGAATCGTGAAATGTTAAATATAATTGCATGAGAGCATAACTTGGCTTGTTTATGCAATAAGGGTGAGCTCACTAGTAAGAAACAACTGTACTTAGCATGTATAGGTTACATTGGACTGTATCCAAAATTGCTCCCCATACCTTTGTTCAATATTCCCTAATACCTACATTAGTCCACTGATATAGTCCACTAAAAGGAGTGAATGAAAACAGTAAGTGAGTTTGAGTGGACTTGAAGGGATAGCATTTTGTTTGTGCTTTGCTAGTTTAAAAAATCCCTCTGATGGATTAGATTTAGAACACATAGAACGCATAGCAAGCTGTATATTAGTAATGAAAAGAAACTATTTTGTTTTTTGTTATGCATACAAATGTTATTTTAACAATTAAATATATTTAGAAACATACATCGTTAGGATTCTGCTGTGGATGCTATTTTACGGTATTGATGTTTATTTGGTGCATGAACTTTCCCTGTGCATTATTGTACAAGTACGGTGCATTGATTGAGTGCACTTCAGAACGTCCATAATGGTTTCAGACACCACTACAAATGGCTGCTCCCTCAAATGGTGCACTACACCCATATCACCCTGCAGCCTAAGACTGGTTACTCACTAAAGCTTAGCAGGACTGAGCCTGGTCAATACTTGGATGGGAGACCACATCGGAAAAACTAGGTTGTCAAGTGGTGTTAGTGAGCCCAGCATGGGGCCCTCAACCTGCAGTCTGTGTTAGTCCTGATGACCCAATAAAGTAAAGGGGACACTTTACTGTCAGTTGGTCTTTCGGATGAGATGTTAAACTGAGGTCCTGACTCTCTGTAGTCATTACAAAATCTCATAGTACTTCTCAAACGAGTAGGGGTGTAATCCTGGTGTCCTGGCCAAATTCACTCTATTGGCCCTTACCAATGATGGCCTCTTAATCATCCCCATCCATCCCCATCCACCGAATTGGCTCTATCACTGTCCTCCCACTCCACCAATAGCTAATGTGTGGTGAGCACACTGACACCGTTGTCCTGTGGCTGCCGTCACGGTGGTGGTGTGGATAGACCACCCTCATGATTGTGAAGCGCATTGGGTGTATGGCCAAACATGATAAATGCGCTATATAAAAATACACACATTACATTACATTACACTGTTTAAGGGTATAGTAGGCGATTTTGGATATATCCCAAGTCTTTTTTTCTCCAGTTTTGGACTTCTCTGCAGAGCTGGAATAACATGTGAAGAGATTTTGGCATCGGTACTACAACTCAGAGCATGTACAAGGTTAAAAATATAAATACAAGATGTGCCTATGCACTCCTAAAATCATTTCATGGATTCACTTAACTGCCTACTCTTACATTTTAGGGTCAGGCCAAGATGATGATCTAGGTCTAGGACCACAAAACTTATAATAGCGCAGATACTTGTGTTGCATTTGCACCATAGTTCTGGGTTTACTCATCCATTTGACTGAGGAGCTTGGCTTGGGTTTAAGAAAGAATATCCTACAAACCCTTTTACATATCTTAAAGGCTTTAAGAGCTCCATATACAGATATACATCTGAAAAAAGGGTGCAGATCTCAGTGGTGCAGCTTTTTAGATTACTGACCGTTTGCTTGTTAAAAGATGTGAGGAAAACCCAGCCTGTCTGTCAAGAGTGGAGCTCAAACACAGGTCAGCTCCACCAAAGACTGGCACTTAACAAGTGAGACACTTGCTGAAAAAGCCGATCTTGGTTAGAGACTAAGAATAGAAAACCAGCATGTCTGTCAGGACTGGGGTATAAACTCTGGTCAGCTGTGAACTCATGTCATGCTGACACTCAAATGAGCGCTAGTCAGTGAGCTTCCTCTACTGAACCCTTGTAATGACATTGTGTAGCAGCAGCTTACAGTACATGCTTGTAACCATGCAAAAGACTGCAACAGCCTAAAAAACAAACAAGTGCTTGAAATGTGTCCTCAAATAACAGGTTGCTATCAAACATCACCCCAAAATTGTTGACTGACAACGAGGACTGTACATCCATTAAGAGTTTATTAGTAATGTAGATTTTTTCTTTATAGTTGTTGTTTTTTTTTTTTGTCTGAATTTAGTAATATAGTTATGAATAATTTATTTTTAATATCAGCTATGATATCTGCTCGTTTTGTGAAGTTATACAAATTGTCAGATTGTGAGGAGATAATGGAGTTGTGTACCATCGGAATGGCAGTGGAAACTAACTCCTAAATAATTTTTTAAGGATTTCATCCAATGGCAGCATATATAATGTAAAATGCAAGGGACCAAGTACTGAGAGTTATGGTACCCCACAATTTACTTTTGATGTGCTGTTAGGGATGTTTTTATCCACTCTGGGGTGATTTTGTGTCTTAATTTGGCCATAATTCTTTTTGTGTTTCAGATATAATGATTTTTGGTCACAAATCTTATTTTGACACTTATTTTGAGAAAATGCTTTGAATTAAAATACTCTTAACAATAAACAATAGTAAATGTATTACCCTTTTGCTCTGTTAGGAATGAAAACATCCACTAAATTAAACTACTGTAAAAAAAAAAAAAATTCAAATATTTTTGCATAATTCTGTTAATCAACCTCAGTCCTGATCAAAAGTACTAAATTGCTTAAAAAATTAAAGGATTCTAACTCTTTAATTGCCAAATTTATAAATGACAAAAAAAAAGACGTTTTTGTGGACTGTTTATTTTTTTTTATCTTTTACCACCTTTTTAAATTAATTTAATTTTTTTCTCCATAATTTACTGTTGGTGGCTGTTTTTGCCACATTGATTTCTATTATAACCATATTTTTTGGATTACAAAGTGATTTTTTTTATTATTATAACCACATTTTTGATTGGTGGTTTTCCCTGTTGGTAAGATCAGGCGCCATTAACCCTTTAGATATGCCTGTATACCCAAAAAATGTGGTTATAATGGAAGTCAATAGGGCAAAAACAATCATTAACCGTAAATTGGGGAGGAAAAAAAATAAAACTCTAACAATACTGCAAAAAGAGCCAATGTTTTCACTAATCGTTCTCATGTCCAAGACTGTGATAAAAGGTAAAGAAAAAGCAGTCCACAACTACTTTTTATATTAAAAATATATCATGTTGTGTGTGCATTTATCTGATGCATTTTTACAACAGTTTGATTCAGTGGGTGTTTTTATCCCTAACATAAAGTAACAAAATGGTAGTAAATTAAACACAAGCAAAAGTAAATAAAAACAGAGCACAAGGGTTAACTGAACAGTAATGCTCTTGCAAAAACCCAGAAGAGCTTAGTAATTTTTCTGTTTGTCTCAACCTTTAAAACACTTTGAATTTTTTTAGTTTCATATGAGGTATTACAATATTTTATGTTTATTATTTATTTATCAACAGTGTTAACGCAGGTTTCCTTTCTTTTCTGCAGCTCTTGCATGATTTTCCTGATGAGTTGAGGGCAGATATAGCCATGCACTTAAACAAAGACATCCTGCAACTGCCTGTGTTTGAAGCTGCCAGTCGGGGTTGCCTGCGCTCACTTTCCCTCCACATCAAAACTTCTTTCTGCACCCCGGGAGAATATCTCATCCGACAAGGCGATGCATTGCAGGCCAACTATTTTGTCTGTTCTGGGTCACTGGAGGTTCTAAAGGACAACATGGTTTTGGCTATTCTAGGTTTGTAGCTTTGGTTGCTTTCTATGACTTCTATAACTGTTTTTTATAACTGAGTGTAGTTTTCTATAACTGAGTATAGTCTATTCAAGTCTCATTTTCAAGTCTAATACTGTAAAAAGGCATACTAAAAATAAAACATTTTGGTGTATGATATTACAAAGATTAACAGAACTAAATGATAACCAAATCTGCAAATGATTAACAGTTTTAATACAGAACTTATATATCATTTTCAGGAAGAGGAGATCTGATTGGATCAGACCTCCCAGGCCAGAATCATGTGATTAAGACAAATGCAGATGTGAAGGCACTGACGTATTGTGACCTGCAGTACATTGGTGTGAAAGGTTTAAGCGATGTGCTTGAACTTTATCCTGAGTATGCCAACATCTTCACTATAGACATCCACCGAAACCTCACATATAATCTGAGAGAGGGCAGTGAGACTGAGGTGAGCCCACACATTCTACAATTCATTGTCATTTTCAATACTGTAACAGCTAATTAGTTAGTTTATTTAAGTGCTCTATACTTGTCTTTTTGACAAATTTATAGTGTAATAAATGTGATGCAACAAGATGATAAAATAACATCCAATACAACAATACAGATTCAGGAGTGCCGTTCTGAATAGTTTCTCTTCTAATATCTTCTCTGCTGTTCATTAGTGCAATGAATTGCAGTTTGTTTGTGTGATTCTGGATTGAGGTTGGTGGGTGGTGGTCAGTTAAAATAATGGGGATGCTGTTGACATTGCATTCGAGAGTTGGTACCATAGGAAAACAAGATTGTTTACATTTTAAATTTAACCTAAAGGATCTTTCATCTTACTTCACTAGAGTAGCTATATTGGGTATTCCAGTTTATAAGTACAATTCCATCACAAGTCCAATGGTCATTCAAGCTACTGTACGCATATAATGATCTATCTCTTAGCAAAATGTCTTTGTCTCTTCCTTGCAGCAGAATTACCCAGACTTCAGTGTCTCAACTGAGAATAAGCGTCCATCCGTTGTAGAAAAGGCTGATGATCCAGACAAGTACTTCCATGTTTCATCTGCTTCTAGTACATGTAGGAATCTACTCCTGCCCAATCTAGGCAGCCCTGTGCGGCGAACATCATTAGGGAACCTTTTAGGAGAGGAGTTAATGCAATTCAATGCCCTACGACATTGTCGCTCACCCGTCAGGGGCTGGAGTCCAAATCCCTCTCCAAAACCTCCAAGCAAAGTACAGAAACAAACCCAGCAACCTTCATCTACGCCTAAACCCATCCATAAAACACAAACAGATTCTGGAAGTATGGCGCGCAAACCTGCCAAGCTGCTCATCCCTACTCTCAACTGCTTTGGACCACCAGATCTTAGTCCAAGGTAACATACAGTCTCACTAAAGACGGCAAACTATATTATTATTACTACATCCTCATATCAATTTTCATACCTGGCTTTTTTGGAGCATTTGTATCAGAACATGGCCACATTTCCTCTTTTCAGTTCAGTTTGTTTAGGCCAGGGGTGCTTATATATATTAATCTGACTAAAGTCATAATTGAACTAAACAGAAATGAGATTAAGATGTGAAGTATGCATGTATTAGTGGCGTTATTGAAGTAAACACTGCAATCAAAACATTACCGTCATGTAGGACTTTTCGTCATACTTTCCCACAAGATCCACACACGCGGCTGTCGGTAAAGGACCACACACACACATTGCGAAATGCGGAAGTTTTTTCTTTCCAATTGGCGTGCTTATAAAATTCCACAACACTCTCACCAGTCCTTACTCCTTATTTTCATCTAATACCCTAGTTTGTCACAGGGGCATCAATGAAATGTTCATGAGTGAATGTAAAACTGCTGAACTGCAGTTAGTCATCCAAAACTACAGGAAACTCTTTTATGAAAGCACTTCACGTAAACACCTTAATTATATTATCGTCTAATAAGCCAAATAACTAGATTACAGATGTCTACATAAACTTAGTCATTAGTTTCTTTGAAGTAAGTGAAAGATCCAGAAGGGCATCCTGCTGATTTGATTCAGAAGGGCACTTTTTTGTAATTTGGCTCACCAGTCAGGTATACATCTGTGCTAAAATATCAAGGTGAAAGTCATCATAGCTTGCGTAAAACAGACCCAGCTCCCAACCCAACTTTGAGAATAGATTAATGGCTGTATTTTTTTAATACGCGATAAGAGTCTCCGATAACGGCCCACCACTAATTTTAATATTTAAAGAAAACTTCATTCATTTATTTTTATTTCGCCTTAGTCCCTTTATTAATCTGGGGTCACCACAGTGGAATGAACCACCAACTTATCCCGCATATGTTTTATGCAACCCATCTCTGGGAAACCACACACACTCATACACTACAGACAATTTAGCCTACCCAATTCACCTGTGCCACATGTCTTTGAACTGTGGGGGAAATCAGAGCACCCGGAGAAAACCCACACGAATGCAGGGAGAACATGCAAACTCCACACAGAAACGATAACTGACCCAGCCAAGTCTCAAACCAGGAGAGGGTGCTTGCTGCAGAGCTATTTGAGGAGAGCTGAGCTCCAGCGAGGGGGAGCATGAGCTGTCGCTCCTCCTCCTGTAAGCTGTTTTAATGCGTACACCAACCCCACCCCTAACCCTACCCCCAGTGACATCACTCGTAGAAGAAGTGCAAAAAAGGTGGAGCTCAAGATTAAGCTCCCCCTCGCTGGAGCTCAGCTCTCCTCAAATAGCTCTGCAGCGAGCACCACTTGCAAACCAGCGGCCTTCTTGCTATGAGGTGACAGCACTATCTATTGCACCACTGCATCTAAAGGAACCTTTATCTTCTTAATGTTAAATTGAAACTAGTACATTTACAAATAAAAAAACAATTTTACAAACTAACTATGTACAGCAGGGCTGTTTAAACCCAGTCCTAGAGGGCTGGTATACTGTGAGTGCTCTGAGGTGGGGGAGAGGTCGACTGCATCACCTGCAGTTCGTTGAGAAGAGTAGTCTCCAGTAACCTCCAAAAAAAGTCACTAGATGCTTTTTTTTTTTTTTAATCAGCGCTAGGGGAGTCTGAAATGTCATTAAGTTGGAAACACTGGACTGGCAGTTTGAAGCGCTCACACCTCGCACATGTTCAGTATGGACGGAACGTTCCATTAATAATAGAGACCGATTTTACACCATACGACAGAAAATGTATAAAAGAGACGTATGATAAATCCAGGCTTCTTGGCATTGGTCAGGGGTCCCTAATTCCCCAGGCTAAGCGGCCGCCTACCTAGCTTATTAGTTAAGTCTGCCCTTGCATGCACTGAAGACTGATATTTGTGACTTCCTGAAAATGCATGTGCAGCTTTCTTATCTATGTGAAGCTTGCTGATCTCTTACTATGGCACTACTTTGTCCTGAACAAGCCCATTTATGCACAGTCTGAGAAAGAAGAGTACTTTAAATTAAAAGGATATCTGACTGTCTGATTTGGAGAGCGCTTTACTTGATTAACACTTTTTAGCAAACCTTGACCATTATCAATCATTGATAAATACAGAAACTGAAGTAGGCAACAGTTTTAAATGTGTCCATTTGATAAAAGTTGTCAACTTGTCAGAAAGCCACAAAACTCCAACTCAATTTTGATAGGATGTTTAAGTAGATCAGGACTGGGCAACTCTGGCCATTATCGTTCATTTTTATGCAGTGTTTAGTTTCAAACCCACCTAAAGACCACTAAAAAGCCCTTACACATATTAAAAAATAAAAATGAAGTCACTCTGAAGGACAGTGGACCTTGAGGGCCAGAGTTGCTCACCCCTGTATGGACAATGCATGAGTAGGAATAAATACTTGTGGCTGACTGAGTAATTTTAAAGCTTTTACATGTGTAGTATATGTGCATATCAGATTACCATATTGGCTTTTACAGAGTTGTAGATGGAATTGAAGACAATGGGCACGTATTTCAATTCAATGTTGAAGACACCTCTACCAAAGGTACTACAGAGACATCACAGAGTAGTAAGACACTGGATGGTAAGGGTATACTTAAGGCTATTTATCTTAATAATATATGCATAAATCAGATGAGTGATTGCTTCTTTGTTATTTGCAGGCTCTGGTCAGGTGAATGTTTCCCTGCTACAGGAAACAAAGGAAGTGAGAGAAACTATTGATCAGCTTAACAAGAAGGTACAATCACATTATAAAAGTTCATGAAAATAGTACACATGATGACCTCAATCACTGTGTAATTACAATATCTTTTTAATTTAGTGAAAAATAATTCACATTATATTAAATGATGTAATAATTTTGAATACAATTTCTCCATAACAGATGGGCAACCTGAAAGAGGAAGTGGCTAATCTAACAAAAGATCTTCATCATATAATGCACCTGCTTCAAGCACATATAGCTGCTCGTCATTATGCTGCACCTTTCTCCTCCTGTCCCTATGGAGTCCACATGATGTCCAGTGCTGCTGTCAGCATGTCTCCAACCTACATTTTGGGTTCCAATATCCACATGCAGCACAAAGACCATGTTGTCTCTGAGGGTCTTTTGAGATCCACATCATGGAACCATAGCAGAGTTAATGGTATGGCCACAATTTCTTTGTAGCTTTGGTTTTCCATTGACAAAACCATCTTAAATTATCTTAACAGACACTAAACAAAGTCTTAAAGGATTAGTTTACCTGGAACTGAAAATCCTGTCAATAATTACTTAGCCTCGTGTCAATGCCCTGAGATTTTTGTTCATCCTTGGAACACAAATTAAGTTTTTTTTTTTTTTGATGAAATCCTAGAACTGTCTGAAATAATTCTAGAGAATCCTAGAACTGTCACGAGAAGTTCAAAGTGCAGAAAAGGAATAAAAACATTCTACGTGACTTCAAGAACAATTTCGACAAACGGTTTTCTGCACCAGAAAAACTGTAAATAGGATTTTGTTCACCTATATCTTCTCTTTCACGACAGGTCTGGGTCAGTGTTAATTTTGAAAGCCAATATTGATTTAGTCTTGGGGCCCTATCATACACCCGGCGCAATGTGGCGCAAGGCGCGGCGCAATAGTCTTTTGCTACTTTTAGCTTGGCGCAAGGTTCATTTTCAGGTGTTGCACCACGCTGTTTAAATAGCAAATGCATTTGCCCTCAATTGTGCGCCCATAGGTGTTGTGGTCTAAAAAAGCAGGCGTGTTTTGGCTCGTTGCTATTTTGAGAAACTGTAAATAGTCTGATCTTTAGACCAGAACAAAGTCGGTCTATTGTCTGGCGCAAAGTGCGCCTGGCTTACACACTACAAACAAGATGCAGAGCAATACGCAAATAACTTTACATATGAAAAATATATAATATCTTAAGGATATATATATATCTGCCTTACTTTCTTCATCTCGGGAGGCTTTTTCTGTTCATTCGATTTGCTTTTGTATAATGCTATTATTATTAGCAGTATTATTTATTATATCTATATTTATATTTGTTTTATTAAAAACAAGCTTAGATTTGTCCACCTGTCAAATTTGAGATGTATTAGGAAATAACTCAGTATTTTGACCACACTTGGTTATTATTGTTCATTTATTCGTTTGCTAGAAATTAGAACTGAATTTAATAATAGTTTTGAAACAAATCTTTGCACTTAACAAACGAAATTAATTATTTAGAGTCTAATTGATGTCTGTGCGTAAAGGTTTCCCTATCCCCGAGAGCAAAAGCAAAAGTGAACTTACTTTACGTCAAAATGCGCTTATGGCGCGACGCAGTTGGCTCTTAAAGGAAATGGGAGATGAGGCTCTAATTGGTATATTCTCAAAACACACCTATAACTCATTAAGAAAATAAACTCAATCCTATTTGACCATGCACCATGGCGCAAAGCGGATTTTCCTGTCTCTAAATTAGCAAAAATGCATACTGACACGCCCTGAAAGCGTTTGCACCCTGCGTTTTGCACTCTGTGCATGGACTGTCAAAATAGAGCCCTTAGTCTTTTACTAAAATTCCATTTTAGTTTTAGTCATATTTTAGTCTTCAAACTTAATTTAGGTTTAGTCTAATTTTAGTTAACTAAATTTCACAAGATTTTTTTGTCTAAATCTAGAGTCAATTTTCTAAAGGTTAGCAAGAGGCTATTCCATTTCAGTTTGACAAAAGTACACACACGGGTAAATAAAAAAGATTAAGTTAACTGTGAATTTTGGGCTTATTAACTGGCATAATGATGTCACTTTAGATTTGTTATTTTTATCAGCTTCCCCTCCCAATCAGTTTACGGGCTTTTTGTCTTGTCATCAAACGTGAATCTACTTTTTCTCCTTGCTGTAGCCAACTCATTATACATAGTTTAATCAGACAGACGCCCCATGGATGATGTAATCGCATCTCGTGTCTACTGTGGATCAGTTACTTTTCAAAGTAACAGTGTGTGTGCATGTGTGTGCGTGTGTGTTCGTGTGTGTGTGTATGTATGTATGTGTTTGTGTGTGTGTGTGTGTGTGTGTGTGTGTGTGTGTGTGTGTATTTGTGCGCATCATGCCTCACACACCAAAATTAATTCTGATTGAATATTCACCAAAATACATCCCCGAATCACATTATCGTCTCGTTTTTATTAGTCACAAAAATTAGAGGACCTACACTGGTCTCACGGCTCGGTTCTGTGACGATTATCATGCCATCAATTTGGTTCAATTCGATATCTTTATACATCACGGTGCATTCACAATGCTTTCCATACACAATTATATATTTTTTTCACAGCACAGCAGTTCTTGTATTAAAATGTATATTTATATTTATATACTATTTATAATACAATTTTGTCCTTTAATATAAACAGTCAGATATTTAAACTGTACCTTTAAAAACCTTTAAAAAGTACACGCACAGCATTTATAGAAAATTTATTCTTTTATTTATTTTCTTTTCGGCTTAGTCCTTTTATTAATCTGGGGTCGCTACAGCAGAATGAACTGCCAACTTATCCAGCACGTTTTTCTGAGCAGATGCCCTTCTAGCCGGAACCCATCTCTGGGAAACATACACAGACATTCATTCACACTCATACACTACAATTTAGCCTACCCAATTCAACTGTACTGCATGTACCACATCTCAGAATATTTCTGTCCAAAGGGAGCTCTGAGGGAGCTCTTAGTTTTCATCTAAAATGTATCAATTTGTGTTTCGAAGACGAATGAATGTCATGGGAAGAGAAATTAATTAATTAACAGAATTTTCAATTTTGGGTAAACGTATTCTTTAGGTATCATTTGACTTAAATGTGTCTCTGGTATTTGCAGGTGGGTCTGGTTTTGCTCAGCACACAGAGAAACAGGGACACTTTCACCAGCATGAGCCTATTCAACACTCTACAGTTCCAGCAAATGACCCCTGTTCCCATGACTGGAGTTCCATTCTTACTTCATCCTCGTCCAGTATCAGTCATCATCACTTTTCTACTGGTCCAGGAACCCAAGGACCAACACCAAGAGAGGCTCCACAACCAGAGGGTTTATTATTAAGTGTTTGTCCTGGAGATGGAGCCCATGCCAGTATCAGCCAATCACAACCTGTTTTGCAGAACTTGTTTTCTCAAAACTTGTGTGGTTCCGGTTTATCCTGTAAGGTCACACCTAGCTCGTATTCACATTTACAAATTTCCACAGAACCAGCTCCTTCCTACTCCACTCTAACCTTGGGTGAAGTGCACAGGACGTCAGAAGTGGGCCTTGCTCACAACCAGAATTTGGTATCTTCCATTTTCCCACAAGAGCATTCTCCGCCCTCTCCAAAGGAATTGGGCATAATTCCCTGTTCACTTGTAGAATCATCTGAGGTAGAGCACACAAGTCAAGAGTGCCTGCTAAGTAACCAAAGGCTGGGTCAAGACAGTGAAACGTCAGAGAGCAGGTCTAGCGAGTCCAGTGTAGGACTTTGTAGCCAATCTGAGAGCTCAGAGACCACTTGGTGCCTGGATCTAATAGACTGACACGATGGAAGACTACAATCAACAATCACAACACAATGACACATTTATCTTTTATTATGGATTTCATAACTTTGTTTATTTAGGATTAAATGGAAAGCACTTGCTCAGTGGTTTATCGTGTGGACAATCACAAAGCCCCCATTTCACTAATAGGGTGTCTTTGCTGGTGCCTGATCCCTTGCCATTCCACTACAGAAAAGGGCAGTTGATGAGTGTGGAGGAAATGTAATCTTTTCATTAATATATAAATAAACAGGAAGAAGTCGGCTAAGCAGAAAATCATTTAGACTGCTACAAAGTAAGATTTCTAACAGTAGGGTCTCTTTGCTGAAGCCAAAGGCAGTGCCCAGACTTTCCCATTACTTTCTAGAAAAAAGGAAGCTCCAAAACCAGAACCTGGAATCCTTTTCCATTCCACTGGAGGAAATGGAAGCTCCGTTGTTGGACAAAATTGTGCCAGAACAGCTTCAAGAACCTGCTAGTCACAAATAAGAAGCCACAGAATGTCGGAGGCTGGGCCCTGATGTCCTTACCAAGTGAGTTTTCAAAACTACAAAAACATCCAATTTTAAGTAACAATTTACAATAACAATACATGAATAATTTTGTACTAATATGTAAATTAAACATTATTATGGAGTAAGGATGAGTTGTTGCATGTGCTAATTATAAACTAACTTTAACTACATGAGTCACAAGTTCATGTGTGAATAACGGCTAGCTAATTACTCGTGAGCACATGCTTGTTTGTTAATTGTTGTATTAATTACCATATTAGTCTATGCTTAGTTTACCCATCATGAACTCATGTAAATGTATAATCATATCATGACCTTACTTAGAGGGGCATATCATCATTAACCCATTCCTAACTATTCATGAACACCTCATACACATATGCTTAGTGCGTGTACACTGAATAAGAATTGAAAAGTGTTTTGTCAACATCAGCATGAACAGTGTAAACATTTGTTTAGACAATTAGTTAAGGAGCCCCTCCAAGTAAAGTCATGACATAATTATACATTAACAGCTCACAAGTTCATGTTGGTTACATTTAACAAACCTAAATGTTAATTAATACATTATTAACAACATGAACTAACAAGGTAGTCATTATTCACACATAAACTCATGTGACTCATGTTGTAGATAAAGTTAGCCCATGATTAGCGCACACCTTAACTGCTCATTAATTCATAATAAAGTAATGTATAGTTTACATATTAATACATCATTATTCATGTACTGTTATTGTAAAGTGTTACCAAGATTTACAATGTTTATTTTGCACTGCACATTGTTAGACTTGTTAAGTGAAGAATGAATCTGTGCAATTTAATTCAATGAAAAAAAAATGTTTGTTCAAAGTTTGACTATTTTACTTAGGCATTTGGAGTGCCAGTTCTTTTGACATCAGTTTGACGTATTCAGTCAAAATCTTATTTATGTCCATCTTACAGTGAGTTTAACTACACGTTTCAATGTGCAAAAAGAAAGCTCGACCTCCTACTCAATATTCCACTAGATGAAAGTATGTCAACATACAGAAAAAAGACGTGTACACTCACTGGCTTTCTGGTTCACATGGACTTTAAGACCGCTATTGAAACCAGGGGTATTTCCTTCCTTTAAGAATCAAACAAATCAAAGAATCGTTTAATAAAGATATTCAATTATTCATTCATTCATTCATTTTCTTGTCAGCTTAGTCCCCTTTATTAATCCAGGGTCGCCACAGCAGAATGAACTGCCAACTTATCCAGCATGTTTTTAAGCAGCAGATGCCCTTACAGCCGCAACCCATCTCTTGGAAACACTCATTCACACACACTCATCCACTATGGACAATTTAGTCTACCCAATCCCCAATTCACCTGTACCGCATGGCATGTCTGTAGACTGTGGGGAAAACCGGAGCACCCAGAGGAAACCCACGCAAATGCAGGGAGACAACAGCACTACCTACTGCGCCACTGCTTTGCCCAAACAAGATATTATCACAGTAAATATGCAGCCAACATGTCAACTAATGCACATTTAGCTGATGTACAGTACTGTGTACAGTATCTATGGGCCATTCTTCAACTACAGGCACTTTTAGTCTTGTGAAGTTGAGTAAAAAAAAACGTAACATGGCCTCATAAGTTTAAACAATTTGTCTAGCTTGAAAATCTTTCAAAATGAAATAAATTATGGCAGTCAAACATTGTCTAAGATCATTTTTGTGTCTAGTTTAACCAATCTTTCTACAATATATATATATATATATATATATATATATATATATATATATATATATATATATATATATATATATATATACATTTATCTACGAAATAAATTAGTTGTGTGCTGAATTGTACACCTGTCACACTCTAAAATCTAATATTAATTCGGTTAAGAGCTTAAGAGCTTATTAGAAAATAAATAAACTTGTATATTACATAGAGCATGAACTAATACATTGTGATGAGAACTTTTTAAGTATACATTTGTGTATATTTTATTATTTCTCTTGTTGTTTTATTGCTCTTGTTGATTGTACGGTGTCCTTGAGTTGCTAGAACGGTGTCTTTAAATAAAATGTATTATTATTATTATTTTTTATTTATTTTTTTTAAAGTGTGTGGTGATGGAAATGACAGTGGTGGAAATGACAATTCAACAGTTAATTGTGAAACAATGAAAAATAGCCTTACCGATTAGCTTTGAATTGACACTAGCCTTTCATGTATACAGAACACTCTTATTTACCTTAATTTTGTTTGGCTTTTAAAAACATCTTTGAAGGTACAGCATGCTTGGAATTAAATTGAATAAATGTATTTCCTTATCAATCAATATTTACCCTGAGGTATTGTTGATAAAAATTAAAATTCCCTCGATCTTGATCATGTTCTCAGATGGCACTATTCATTTTCATAGAAACCACCTAAACAATCTTTCACGCAAATGTTTTAAAAATGACATAACAGTGTTGCAGTGGAAATGACACTGATACTGTGCGACAGCTATATTTTGTATAAAAAATAATATGGATAAGTCTTACATTTATAACGATAAAATATTTAAATGATTTCACAAGTGCTTAATTAAAATACATTAATAGATACCAGATAAATAATATTTTAAAATGCTATTTTCATTATTGACATTTAAAACTCTGGGTGTGCGACAAGGTGAAATAGAAAACAAAAACATATAATAGAAAGGTAGTGTTTTTTTAAAGTAGATTTAATTTTAGTTTGACAAAGAAAGAGAAAATTGATCAAATACCCAAAAATATATCTAATTTTGTTCAAAGGACATATAAGTGCTTGTAGTTGAAGAATTACCACTATATGTAATATAACATTGCTAAAATGACTACAGACTTTTATTTCCTCTGTTCAAATTTATAAATACAATGTGGGATCTCCTTGTTATATGTTCATTTTTATGACCTTTGACCGTTGTATAAACAAGTTTGACAAGTGATGACATGAAGACTCTGAATCAGACAGAAGGCCATTTTCAATAATAGAAGCCATTTACCACTTTCACACAATAAATGTGTAAATGTGTAAACTGACTGACTTTTCCAGTAAATACACTATATCTGCTGTCTTCAAAGCAAACAGATTTATGTTTTTTTGATTTCATGTTAGTTCACCTAGTTATAAATATGCCTGTCCTTTCAGCTCATGCCATTTCAAGTACTTTTTTCTATTCTACTTTTCTGATACACTAAATGAAGATTTACTTAAACTAGTTTCTCAGCATTTTTTCTCTCTGTTTAAAGTAGATAAGAAAGACCAAGTAAAGATATTATGAACAGCATCATTTAACTAAAGAGACAAATATAATCAATAGATTTAGTTCATTCATAGATTTACATAATGAACAGGAGCAGATAATTGCTCTAACATATAACACAGTAAATATGGAAGGCAGAAACTCAGCAAAGTGAAGAATGTCCAATTTTACCAAAACAATCATTTATTTACTAGCTTTTCTTTTTTTTCACATGTAATTGCAGTAATGTATTCCTGCCTTAATAGTGCGATCCTGCTCAAGACACTTAAAACTGTGTACAGTATATTGTACATGCAGGGTGGCACGGTGGTTCAGTGGTTAGCACTGTCCCCTTAATTGCCATTTCTGTGAGGTGTTTGCATGTTCTTGGTTTGCAAAGGTTTCCTCCAGTTCCTGCAGTTTTCCCTACATTCCAAAGACGCACACTATAAGTGAACTGAATGGACTACATTGGCCATATTGTATGTGAATGTGAGAGTGTATAGGTGTTTCCCAGTACTTGGTTATGGCTGGAAGGGCATCTGCTGTGTAAAAAATATGCTGGAATAGTTGGCGGTTAATTTCGCTGTGATGACCTCTGCTAAATAAGCGATTAAGCCGAAGTCAATGAATGAATAATTGTACATAAATACCAACTCATTTCACTCAACGTAATTAAACTCAAACTCAAATCTGTAACTGCTTTTTTTTTTTCAGAAACACGGTTCCTGGTATTCCACACCAATCACAGAAGCTGTACAACTATGCAAAGAGGCATGTGAAATGGAGAGCATCTCTGTTAAAAAATTGTGACTGTTTGTTGTCAGTACAGTAAACGTTTTAGTTGTTTACTGTGGACATCCAAAGACATTATACAAATCACTTTTATTATTTTCTTAATTTAACTATGGTTTAAATTGTTTATTCCTTTAAAGAAATAGTTCATCCAAAAATGAATATTGACTCATCATTTTCTGTCTTTCATGTCTTCTGTTGAACTTGATATTTTAAAGCAGGGGTCACCAATCTCGGTCCTAGAGGGCCGGTGTACCTGCAGGGTTTAGCTCCAACTTGCCTCAACACACCAGACTGGTTGTTTCAAGTATACCTAGTAAGACCTTAATTAGCTTGTTCAGGTGTGTTTAATTAGAGTTGGAGCTAAAATCTGCAGGACACCGGCCCTCCAGGAACAAGTGTAGTGACCTTTATTTTAAAGAATGTGTTACTCATTGACGTCCATACTAGGAAAGAAATCATTAAGGAAGTCAATGGGTCCCAACAATTAGC